GGGGGGGGGGGGGGTGTAATTAAGACTATGAATACAGCACGAAGCCGAACCAGAAAGACAAGGTACCAGGTCTTTATCAAACGTATCAGAAAGCGAGTTTTAATAGCGCTGGTCTTATTTAATGAGCTTGGGTTCTTATAAATTTATTGAATTGAGATGGTTTTAGGATTGAATTGAGATGGTTAAGGTAATACAAGATCAAAAGTCAGACGTCTGTTTTAAAACAGGGCGTTATTTGAAAAAAGAAACGAGCTGACTTGCTCGTCTCGTCGTTTTCTTTGTTAGTGTCTACACTCAGTTAGTTGTGAAGTTCTGCTATTTCAGTGGACACGTTAAAGCTATGGATTTGTTATAACCCAAACGCGATCTTTTCAAAACAACAAGAAAAACTTTTTGGTTCTGGTTTTCTTGCCATTAAACCATGTTTGCTACTGTTACAGTATGTGTTTTTTGCAGCAGGAGGAAGGAAGCGCCGCGATTAAGAGGAATTGAAACAGCATCCAAAAAGTGAGAGGAAGAAGAGCAGAATATTTAGAAACAAACAGACAGGGTTAAAGGTATATACGTTAGGTCAGACATCATTTTTGTTTCCTTTCCATTGCCACTATGAATAGATAACGGACAACCTGTTGAATAAGGAAACTACACATTTCAGAGTTGACGGGGAAGTTGTTTAGTGCTTAAAGCCGTTGAAGTTTGGTTAAATTCTTGTCGCGTTGTACCTTCGCTTGTTGGAAATACATAATACTGATTAATACTTAGGTTAGAACTACTGTTTCGTTTCAGCAAGAGCATAAAGAAGATGGGCAAAGACAATTTCAAACGGATGGACCAACAACCTTCATTGTTGGATCTTCAAGAACGAATCATGCAGAGGTATTGTACATAGAAACAGTATTGAAATGTAAAGAGTGGCGGATCCACACCTTCAGATAAAGGGCGGATGGTCATCCAGACCCTGAGATAAGGGGAGGGGCCAGGCCTAAGAAAAATTTTTTTTTCGGCCTTTCGCGCCTCATTTTGGTCTAAAAATAAGGGGGGAGGGGCCGCGCCCCCCCGGGCCCCTCCCCTGGATCCGCCACTGGTAAATAGCTGTATTCTTTGAGATACCTTTTCAGTTTTACTTCGATTAAAAGCACAATTTTCCCCTTGGTCTAAAACTCAAGTTTTTAGGCTTTCTCCCTTTCCAACAAAATTTCGCATTGTTGAATTAATAGCAACGGAAAAGTATTAAATCTTATTCACAGTTCAAATCTCATTTGGCGTTAAATTTACTGAAATGACAACGAAAAGATGCAATGATAAAAGCATGCTTTCTAAATGCAAATTAAGGTAGGCGGAAACGTGTAATTAACTAATTGTTATGAATTATCCCTTAGTTTCAGAATGATCACTGGCTCGACACTAAACGAGAATCACACAGCACGATACAGATGTCTACGATAATGAGCATAATATATAGTTATAACAGTTCCTACGGCTAAGATAGGTCGTGAATGAAAGCACAAATAATTAAAAACATAGCGGAGTGATTACGTCAGGGAACATTTCAGTCTTTTTGCCTTAAACGAAGACCGCGCCCGGCAGGTCGGGGTATACGATCCATAGGGCCGGGATTTTTCCCTTATATGTGGCTACTGTAACAAGCGCTTAAGGGTTTTTTCATCCTATGGATAGTTAATTCGTATTCCCCTGAAAAAGGTTTGTCTTTTGTTTGTCTAGTAGAGTTTGCCTGACTGGAAGAAGTTAAAAGAACTACTCAGATGGTTTTGATTTTCACTAAACAGTACACTAGTTTAAACGTGAATTTCCGTTCAATCGAAGATAAATTGTTCAGTGTAATCCCTAAAATTGGAGGCTTAATCTATTACATTTACTATACAATATAATACTTATCAATATATGATCACAATAAGTCCGAAGTAATTTTATTGTAATTTGTTTATATTTGGTTATTGCAAAGTAATAAAAGCTAGTTAAGAATGCCTGAGCGGACATCCCAAGGGGCGCGATAGTGCATACAGCAAACTTACGAACACCAAAAACGGCCAACCTTTAATCCGGTTAAATAGTAGAAATCCAATTGGTAAGAATTCCTGAGACGTAGATGCTTATAAGTTGTGTACAAGAAAAAAAGTACAGAGTAGAAAAGTTACAAAACGAAAGTAAAGAATAAGACATCAATTCATCAGTACTTTATTGATACCCGTTTTCACTATCTCAGTCTTACCGAATGCCAGTTTGTAATATAATTAATTATTCAACATAGCAATTTTCAGGTTTTATCAAACTAGAATTAAGTAGTGTTCAGAAATTGCAGAATTACTGACCACTTTAACACTGAAATAAACTTATCGATTAATGAAACATGGTTACATTGTCTGTTTTTACTTTAGATTTTTACCTTACGTTTAAACCGCCACCGCCCTTCTTTCCGCCACTTAGAAACACTGTTGCGTATTTGAGAGCGTTTAATTTCTGAACGTTTTGCATTAAAAAAACGCTTGTTTCGAATTCAAAGTAGTCCAGCCATTTTATCGCAAAAACAGGTCGCCTTGTTAAAGCTTTGTTACTAATTGCAAAGGAAGGTTTGTGAACGCTTTTGGCCCAGGAAAATATTAACATTGTGCATTTTTTTATACAGAAATGTGACATACATCGTACATTTTTCAGGTTTTAAAAGTGAAAATACTATTTATGCCTCCTTGCCCGCTTGTCTTTTATACCCTTATTATAAAGAGAACCTTTGGCTAAATTCTGGGGTCATCAGTCGAGCTATGTTTGCAAGAGCGCTTAAAGAAATAAGGAACAACGATGTGTTTGGGTATAATTTTGGCCACGCAATATGGCCGATTTATTGATTAAATTTCACATCTTCAAACAAATTTAATTAGCTATGATTATTTTATTTTTTTACGCTCTGGTAAAGGTGAAGGCGGAGAAAAAAGGCACCCAGCGTAAATAAACTACTATAAAGAAAGAGGCGGAGGAAGGGATGAGGAGGGTCAAATTTGCAAAGCTTGTTACGTCTGGAGACCAAGAGGAAGACTTCGGGGAACACAGCTTGTCTTAAACCCTAACCTTAAATGAAGTCGAGGCTAAGTACTTTTCCGAACGAGCTCGTGACTAGTAGTTTTACAGCAAGTAATATTCCGGCAAGTAATTTACCAGCTAGTGATTTCCCGGCTAGTAATTTCCCGATTGAACTCGTGATAGTCGTGTGATCAATACTGGACTATTTTGTCTGATTTTGTGTCAAATTGGACCCTGCTCACAGCTCTTCCCTGCCGATTACCTTTGTTAAAGGTGAATGCGTGACTAGGAATAAGTGCTTCTCTTAGCAAACTAACATAAATCATTGCGTGCCTAGGTGACATAAACATTTTTATTTGCAGGCAAATAAACTCCTTTACGCTCCTTGCCCGCTTGTCTTTTATACCTTTATTATAAAGAGAACCTTTGGCTAAATACTGGGGCCATCAGTCGAGCTATGTTTGCAAGAGCGTTTAAAGAAATAAGGAACAACGATGTGTTTGGGTATAAGTTTGGCCACGCAAGATGGCCGATTTATTGATTAGGTATAACATCTTCAAACAAATTTAATTAGCCATGATTATTTGATTTTTTACGCTCTGGCAAAGGTGAAGGCGGAGAAAAAAGGCCACAAGCCTCCCACCCGAAGACTGGATGACCCAGAAAAAGCCGAAGAGTAAACAGTTCCTCAGCACTTGCTTGAGGACAGATTACTCATGAACGAGCTGCATGTGTAGATAAACTAGGTGTACGAATATAGCTTAAAAATGCTTTGGACTTCCATCGTCCTAACTGGCGAATTTGTGCATCAGAAAGACCTTTAGCAGCAGCCCAAGTGGCTGCACCTATGCGAAAACTGTGTGCTTTGTACAGGGTAGGGTCAAGATTACAAAATCTAAGAGCCCTATTAAGTTGTTCCACAAAAATTGATATTTTTATGGGCGCCCCGCCCGGCCAGCAAAACAGGGGGCCACTGGTGGTCCCTCTAACAGAAATAAACGCTAAGACAGCTTTGACCGGGCAACAAGATTCTTAAAAGATGTCAATAACAAATGGGCGCCCATTAGTACTGTGCTTATTATATTTATAAATTGTCAGTTGAAGAGCTACGACCTGCCCTTGGGGAGTCTATCTTTTTGTCGAGGGTCGAGGGTTCCATGTCGTGGGTCGAGGGTACCCTGTCGAGGGTAATTTTTTTTTCAATTTTTTTTAAAGAAAATGTGGTGTTGTTGTTGTTGTTTAATTAAAATTTTACGTTGACATTCGAATTCGCTTAAAAGCAAAGAACCTTCTCCCTTCCTGTGAAGGCAGACAGGTTGTGCCAAAAAAAAATTATAGCGCTTAGGCAGGGGGACTGCTTAGGCTTATATTTCAGTCACGTCTGCCTCTTCTCTGCCTTGCTTGGCTGTTCAGTGGGGTAGTTTGAATATGGATATTTCACCGATTCTTGTTTTTTAAGCTATCCCACTGCATGTGACCGAATTGTCGTGCTTTCAACGAAGTAGAAACTCGCCTTGAAATTTTAAAATACAAGTCATCGATAATCACCGACACCGGAAATCGTGACCTAGGTACGTAGGTGCGTAGCTGGAGTGATGATGCTATCGCCCGAGTCGCGCCGCAATAATAAACTCCTTCAATTACCAAAGACTGTTAAGCTTATTCAAAGCTATTATCTAGGGAAGAACTACGCGCTCCAGTCAAAAGACTCACACTATCTTTAGAAAAACACTAAGCTGGAGTTTACTGAGTCACAATTCAATTCTCCATAGTAAGTTGGTGTAGCTTCAGTTTAAGCCGAGAGTTTAAGCTGCACATCATTCTTATAATTTTGGATCTGTACATCACTATCCGTGTATAACATTCTGCAAAGAAAACGAACGAGCTGCGCCCAGCGTGGTACGGCGTTGCAGAAAAACATTACACTCACGGACCAAAGAAAATCACTCAGTTATTCAGATCCAGAAGGCACTTTGGAGAACATTGGAACCCTTATTTAGCCGTCATAAAAAGCTTTACACTTCAAAAGAGGTCAAATGAAATGCGCTAGTATGACTATCAAAGGGCAAATCCTGCACAGTAAATCGATATGTGTGTCATGACCTCTCAGTGTGAAACATGCGCCTAAAATCACATTTTCTCAGTGAAAATGTACAACCCTCCAGAGCATAATCTACCCAGCAGAGAAAAAAACTTTATTGCATGGAATAAGCAGCATTTTGGCATGAGGTAAAAGTCGTGTAGGCCTACCTTTTCCTTTTATTGCCATTTGTTTTTTTAAATTCTTCTTATTTGTTTTCCATTTGTTTTCCATTTTTCAAAAAATTAAAAAAAATAAATAAATAAATTCTTATCCTCGACCCTCGACATAAAGATAGACTCGCCCTTGGGTCGTCATTCCGTTAACTGTTATCTCGCCGATACGTAAAAACACAAAAAAGGCTACATAACACATAGTTGAAAACATCTTTAACTGGTAGGCTGACTCTGTAGTGCGCTGAAACGAGGCAACAAGCTGCCGCAAGATTGGTAGTGTAATAGGAAGACGTACATCACGTACCGGTGCTAACTTGCGATAACCTTTAAGAATTTGACGAATGATCGCAGTTTCCGTTGGATCATTCACACCTGCTAACTTATGGGCATAGCCGATAGCAGATAAATAACTAGTCACAGTGGAGGAAGCATAATTATGCGAATAAAGATGGGAAACAAATAGTACTATAATAGCGGGCTGTAAAGGTAAGCATAAGACTTCGTTACCTAAAAAGGACTGAGCCCATCTCGTGAATAAGCTCCATGAAAGCCCGGGGGGGGGGTACTTTAGGAATTTCTGGGTGGGGATGTGCCGCTGGAACCCTGGAACCCTTAACCTATACCAGAGCTAGTTCAGCTGAATTTTGCTACCCTATACTAGAGTAAACTCCCCAAATCCCCCTATCCTAGAGTAGCTGTTTCCCTAGTCTAGATAAAATCTTCAACCAACTGATCAGTTTCCTGAAAAATGATACCCTATTCTAGACCCAAACGCTCTGATTTATATACCCTATCCTAGAGTAAACTGCTTGAAAACTATACCCTTCACAGCGGCACATACCTATATGGCCCATGTATGGCAGTANGGTGGAACTAAGGTTTGTTCGTGGTCCATGCCCTGTCCCAGGGACTTGAATTTCGTGACCTGTAAGCGCGATAAAGCGTCAGCCTTGACATTGAGCACCCCAGGCACGTGGACCGCCCGAAATAAAATATTATGTTTCAAACATTGTAAAACTAGTTCACGCAAGAGGACGATTAGCTTGTTATCTTTCGTAGTTTTCTTGTTAATAACGTCAACTAGACCTAGATTATCCGTGTGAAAAAGGACGCATTTGTTGGCCAGTTCTGACGCCCATATTGAAAGACTTATAACGATCGGAAACATCTCTAGCACCATAATGTTACGACCTAGCCAGTTTGAAGGCCATTGATCATAAAGCCAATGCGAGCCGAAAACTGCGCCGTAACCTAAAGAACCTGCTGCACCAGTGTAAAGATGTAGTTTGGCTGACGAGAGCCAATTGTAGTCTAAAAAGAAAGACTTGCCATTGTATGATTCTAAAAAGGTAAGCCGATTTAGACGAATAACGTTTGACCCCCTGAAATAAATACCCCAGGGGGGGTACTCGGGATTTCAAGTGACGGGGATGATCGAATGGAGCCAAAAGTCAAGACCCAAAAAAATCCTTAGGGCTTTCAGCAAAACCCAAAAAAATCCCTGGACCAAAAATTAACCCCCCAAAAATCCCATGCCGATTTGGTGGCCCTTAAAAGTTCCAGAAAGGGGTAATGCTATAACACAAAGAAAGACATGGGAAATTTAAACAACAGCAAAACACGGTTGTTTGTACTTTATTCGCAGAACTACGCGGCCAGAGCACTACCGATTCTTTTTAATACCCCCAAAAAATCCCTACTCAAATCAAGCTACCCCAAAAAATACTTGCCAAATTTTCGTACCCAAAAAAAACCCGGAATCGAAAATTTCAAACCCAAAAAAATCCTTCGATCATCCCCGTCACTTGAAATCCCGAGTACCCCCCCTGGGATAAATACTCGCTAGAATGTTCAATAAAATACAGCTTACCGTATTTACTTTGCTTGTTTTTGTTTGCTGTGTGGTTATTTTTCCCGGTAAGCTGTATTTTATTGAACATTCTAGCGAGTATTTGTCGATTTGAGTCTTTTACCTGAATTCCCATACAAATCCTTTATATTCACGGCCATTTTAAATTACGCAACATGAAACTACATGTGTTAATGATTAAACTCACACACTGAGCTTGGGCCGCCTGTGGTGTATCAAGCTCAATACCCGCAAATGACAACACGAAGCTACGGCCTACTGTTTTCTCGGGAGCGATTAGAACGCCCGATTCATCACACGTTTTGAGAAAAACTTGCAGATCATTAGCGCACGATGCAAGCGATTTGCTGACGATCAGAAAGTCATCTAACAAATGTAATATACCGGGTATATGTAACCTAAAGCGAGCAATCCATTCCAGAGCGGAACTGAAACACTCAAATATTTTGCAAGAACTGGAAACTCGCCCCATAGCAAGATTTCTATCAACACAGAATTGATCACGCCAGCAAATCCCCAGCAAATTGTAATCAGAAGGGCTGACCGGAATCAGCCGAAAAGCATTTTTGATATCGGTCTTCGCTAGCGCACAGCCCCTGTACAGCAGCCGCCGGAGTGGCGTTCGAACCATCTGGCTCCTTCTGAGCTTGAGGAAGTATGTCGGCTGCTTGAAGTCCTCCTAGCACGGCTTCGGAGACTATGGCAGCGATGTCCACCGGGGCAGGGGTTGCGTCGTTGCCGGCAATTGGAACAGTGACCAATTGGGAGCGATGTTCCGAGGCGGGTTGACGGCTGTCCGTTTTAGGAACTGTGGTCCGGGCAGCTGATTTTGACCTCTTTGCTTTGTGAGATTCTCGCGTCGCCTGGGCAGCACGCTTCTGTGGGCGTGGTGCAGGAGGTACGGTGGGGGCAGCACGAGATTGCCGACGAGTCGTCATATTGACTGGAAAACAAAAACAACCTATGTGTAGCAAGGAAAGTAACCCGTGGATGCGAACCACAAAAATTGCGGTTATGCGCGCGTTGGCTAAAGAAACCGCTTATGCCCAGCAGTCCATACCCCACTTTTGACCTCGTAATAAAACAGAAGAAAAAAGAAAAATAAATAAAATTAAATTAAAAAATAATAATATAAAGAAGAGTTCCAGCGAACCGTAATATATAAGAAAAAACGGCAACATGTTTGGCAAGCCCAAATAATGATAGTTGCCGCAAGGAACATGCTTAGGTGCCGCAAAGCTTGTGAACTCATAGAGTTCTCAGTAAGAGTATACAAACAGTCTATTTAGACATGTAGGACAAAAGAAAGTGTGGGTGTAAAAAAAAAGGACCTATAAATTTAAGCTGGGAGCGCGACCCGCCGCGGGGGGGAAACTGAACTTAATAGCGGATAGAATGGCGCTCCTGTAGCTCCGATAGAGAGCATATTGCCCTTTGGAATTAAGGTGTACCCTGTCTCTGCATAAAATGCGAACGGTGGGTTGTCGAAGTCCTTTGTGACGCCAGAAAACAGCAAAAGGTAGGGTCTCCAGCACACGATCGTTGAAGGAGGGTGGATCGCTCAAACCTGCAGCGCGGTTTATGGTCTGACAAACTACTATCGTTTCAACTTGGCATTCAGCGTGTAAACGCTGAACGAGGGTCTCGATCTTCGAACCTACCACCTCAGGCCTAGCGTCCGGCGGGCAAAGGTCGTTGGAACCTATTTCCAAAATCACAATCTGAGGTTGTAGGCGCCTTACTAAATGTAAATCAAATTTAGATAGCTTGTCGACAGTGCGACCGCCAACTCCGAGAAAAGTTATCTGCGCGGAACGGGACAAGTTAAGATCCCGTCATACCCTTGCGTATATGCCTTTAGACAAAAATAATTCAAAACGACGAACAAAGGCGTGGCCCATAACGAGAACATGGGGTTTAGGAGACATGACTAACTTAAAAAAAAAAACAACAAGAAAGATATACTCAACTCTGGAAGTGAAGGACGGAGGTGTGCGGCTGTCAAATTCGCAAAGCTTGTTACGTCTGGATACCAAGAGGAAGAGGCCTAGTGGCCAAGTGGCCTATACCAAGTTACTACGAGGAATGGCTTAGAGCATGGTTTTTGAATTTCTAAACATAAATTCTCAAGACCATTCAGGTTCAAGTCACGGCGTATTACAAAGTTAATAGAAGTTTTAATGTAACAGCATACACCGCCACCGTAATACCATTTTAAAAAATAATATGCTTCTCTTCATTTCTTAAATCAAACAGTGTCGTAGATGCAAAAACCTATTTTCCACATCACCTTTCGGCGAACTCGTCAAACAATGAGGTATTGTTTGAGAGACCGCTTGAAGGAGGTAATATTAATTACATGAAGTTATCGCAGTTTTGATAATTCTTCTTTGTCATTGTTTATTTATTGTTGCAAAGACAAGGAAAAAATTCTATAAAACATTCAGAAGGCAAAAAATGTGCTAGCCATAGGTAATGACATCCAGCGTTTTTGCATCTATGACACTGCTTGATTTAAGAACTGAAGGGAAGCATATTTTTTATTTTCCATTCTTAAACAATCGCCTTTCGGGGAATTTCACACCTATATCTAGTTTTGCAATCTTCTTGCAATTGCCGAAAAGAATCGGCAAAGTTAAAATTAAAGCGGCATCGTCTGTTCTATTGTCAAAGACTTGTGAAAAGTGTTTCAATGGTGTTTTCCTTCCTTTCTTTCGAGTTTGATAATTAGCTCGTCGAAACAATGAGGTATTGTTTGAGAGACTGCTTGAAGGTGTATATATTAATTTATTAGTTATCCCAGTTTTCATAATCTTTTTTGTTAATGCTTATTTATTGTTGCAAAGACAAGTAAAAGAATTCTATAAGCATTCTGAAAGCAATCCAAGATTCAGGCGCGGATCCACACCGGTTTCCACAGTTTTACGGAAATCGGTCATATTTTCATAATTAATATGTTTTTAAAAATAAAAAGACTTTCCAAGTTACAATCTGGCCAATATCCTGTCTGAATGACTTGAAAACCCAGGAAAGGGGACTTTAAGGAGTCAAAATCCAAATTATTTCCTGGGGGAGCCCTCCCCCGGATCCCCCTAGAAGCTTGTGCCTTTGGCGCTCGTTTAGAAAATCGGTCAGTATTTATCCTAGATCCGCGCCTGAGATTTTTGTACCTACAACACTGCGTGATTTAAGAAGTGAAGGGAAGCATAATTTTTTACAATTTATTTTCCATTCTTAAACAATCGCCTTTCGGGGAACTTTACACCTATGTCTAGTTTTGGAATCTTCTTGCAATTGCCGAAAAGTATGGGCAAAGTTGAAATGAAAGCGGCATCGTCTGTTCTATCGTCAAAGACTTGTGAAAAGTGTTTTGAATGGTGTTTTCCTTCACACCTAAAAATTCCACGGGTCAACATCGCACACAATACATGTATTGTTCCTCTACTTGCTTTTTGTTTCAGAATTAAACACCCACGTGTTTCACTGCTTATAACTTCTCTTCCTTCCGAAATCGTGGTCAGTGTCAAGTGGAACTTGCCTTCAGACGTGTCGTTCGATAAAAGGAACAGTTTTGTTACTGCCTTCACATTAGTAGAAGTGTTGAGCGCGCGGAAGACGAA